TGCACTCCCATGGGACAGGCCACGCTCTGAGATTCAAGGTTTCTCTAATGAAAAGTTACGAGCCATGTTATGAGTTCACTCATCAACTCTAGCGCCTTGCACTTTAAACGATTCAGGATCACCACCCCTACGCCGTGGCTACTGACTGTGCTTGAAGGTGTCAGATTGCTGGTGAATTCAGTCACCAACGTGCCTTCTATGACTGTAGGACCATGAAAAGGCCTTAAGAAGGATGTTTGTCATTTTTGTTAAATACCCTTTTATTAGCCAGTGTGGCTGGTATTTTAGTGGCTTTTTTACCTTTTGGTGTCATTCCTAATCGATTAATTATAATCCAGATTCTAATCCAATAGCTCCTAGTACAGCCATCAAGAACTACACACCTATGTGCGTTCAATCTTACTTAGTTAATACAATGTATATCATTTTTTCTGAAAAACTTTGGCTTCATATTGAGAAATTCCTCTGAGTTTTGTCCATCTTTGAAGTAATATTTCCATTCCAAACCAATATAGATAATGGGCGGATTGTCCAGCAGTAGATACACCTTTGACAGACACTGCAAATGAACAAATGCCTTTGGGAAATTGCCATGTTCTTCTAATAACCTCAAACTTCTCCCTACGACAAAGGCCCGACTTTTTTTAAGCAACAGCATTTCATAGGAGTTGCAGGCTTGTGGCCCATAAAACACTGCAACCACTCAAAAACCAGTAAGGCTCATCACTCAGGTAGGACATTCAGAAGGACACAGCGGTGTGCTGCACATTGAGGAGGCGAAGCCAAGAGGGCAGAATGAAGCCAGCGCTTCTGCCCAGCTCTACCCACACACCCCTCTGCAGCAAATCCAGGAACACACCAAACCCAATTCTGAGCAAGAAAGCTAAGAAGAGCTTAGGAAGGCAGAAAGAGAGGCCTGCAGACGTGGGTGGGGGCTGGCTGGGAGAACCGTGCACTGCAAGCAGCACCAAGGGGGGGGGGCTATGGTGGCAGCAGCAACAGGAGCAGTGCTGTGTCAAGGGCGAGGGCACTGACTGCCAGATCATAGAGAGCCTCTGGGAGCAGGGACGGGGCCATCTGGCAGCCTGGCTGCCCCCGTTACCCAGGTTCAGATCACTGTACCAGGGTAGAGAGAAGAGCAGGCATGGCTGCAGGGAAACAAAGACCCTACCTGAATAAGGTTAGGCTTCCCAACTTTGATCCTAATTCTGCAGACCAGGAAGGCAGTGGCCAGACCTCTACCAGAATCATGTACTACTTGGAAGAACTGAAAACTTACAGGCCTGCACTGAAAAGTAGTAGGATATAAAAGACAGAAACTTGGGCCAGATCTCACCACCATCCCAAGAGGGAACAGATAAATTCATTTCTAATTCTCACTCTAACCCTAAATTTGTTTCTAACATAAAATCCAGTCAGGAAATAGGCTATAAAAATGAGTAAACAAACAAGTGATTGGAAAGGTGAATGGAAAACTCAAGACACAAACTTAGAAGAAAAATGACTTGAAAACAAATACAAGCAAAGCCTCAAAGAAAAATGCGGATTAGATATAAGTCCAACGAGAATTCCTAGAAGACCTACAGAAAAGGGGCAAAAGTAGTTAAAAAGTGATTTTAAAAATCAAATAACAGCAAAGAAAAATTGAGAAAAGAAATGAGACCTGTGGAAGAAAATTATGAAAAGAGAAATAACAGCTTGTTAAAAGATGCACAAAAATTACTGAAGAAAATAACACACAAATCACAACTGGCTAAATAAGAAAAGAGGTACAAAATCTCACTGTAGAAAATAATGCCTTAAAAATTAGAACTAGTCAAATAAAAGGTAATGACTCCATAAGACATCAAGAAACAATAAAATAAAGTCAAAAGGCTAAAAAAAATAGAGAAGAAATGTGAAATATCTTACAGGTAAAACTCACCTGGAAAACAGAGGAGAGATAATTTAAGAATTATTGGACTACTTGAAAGCCATGATTTAAAAAAAAAAGGGGGCCTGGACATCATATTCCATGAAATTTTAGAGGAAAACTGCCCCAAAATCTCAGAACCAGAGGGCAAAATAGAAATTTTAGAAATCCACTGATCACCCCTGAAAGAGATCCCAAAATGAAAACTTCCAAAAATATTACAGTCAAAATCCAGAGCTTCCAGATCAAGGAGAAAATACTGAAAGCAACCGGAAACAATCCAAATACCTTGGAACCACAGTCAGGACACACAAGATTTAGCAGCTACCACACTAAAGGATTAGAGGGCTTAGAATATGATATTCCAGGAGGCAAAACAGCTATAATTACAACAAAAAATAGCGCACCCAACAAAACTGAATATAATGTTCTGGGACAGAAAATGCATATTTAATGAAAGAGAAAGCTTTCAAGCATTCTTGATGAAAAGACTGGAGCTAAATAGAAATTCTGACATTCAAACATTCTCAAGAGAAGCACAAAAAGGTAAACATGAGTCAAATCACATAGGACTTAACAAAGTTAGACTGTTTACATTCCCATAAGAGAAGATGATGCATTGTAATCCCCTAAGAACTTTATCATCATTGCACAGTTAGAAGGAGCATACTTAGAGGGCATGGTGTGAGTTTATGTTGTGATTATGTCAAAAGAATGGAAGGATGAGAAAGAGAGGTGCACTGAGAGGAGGGGGAAAGGAGAGGAAGATTGAGGCAAATTATCTAACGTAAAAGAGGCACGCAAATATATGTTGTTAACAAGAGACACACTTGAAACAGAAAGATTCACAGTAAAATAAGGGGCTGGAGCTGAATCTATTATGCTTCAGCTGAAGTAAAAAAAGGCAGGGGTAGCAATCATGATCTCAGACAAAGCAAATGCAAAAATATACCTAACTAAAAGAGATAATCAGAGAAACCATACTTTGTTAAAAGATACCATAGAAAATGAATTGATTTCAATATTGACCATATTTCAATATGCACCAGATGGCATAACATCCAAATTCTTGAAGGAAAAGTTAAATGAGTTACAGGAGGAAATAGTAAACTATGTTAGTGGGGACCTTAATTTACCCCTCTCAGACCTAGATAAATCTAAACATAAAATAAAGGCGATTAATACAATTTTATAAGAGTTAGACATAATAGACCTCTGGAGAATGTCGAATGGGAAAAGAAAAGAGCATATCTATTTCTCAGCTATGTATTGCACCTTCACAAAAACTGACCATGTATTAGGGCATAAAAACCTCACAAATTAAGAAAATCAGAAATATTACATGTACCTTTTTAGGACCACAACGCAACAAAAATTACATTCAAAAAAAGGCCTTTGAAGCACAGATTAAAAATTGGAAATTAAGCAATTTAATCAGACTGCATTAAAATTTAAAGAGAACCTAAAGGACATCATAAAAATACACATGAAAAAAATATGGCCTGTGACAGTCTACATGCTCCACCAGTATCCTTGTAACATCAATAAAAGCAAAAAAGGATCCCAACACATTGGATGGACCCTTGTGGTGAACTTAGAGGAGGTTAAGGGCAAGAGTTACAGGATGAATAAGCTTCTCTTTCACAGGAGAAAATATCTCAATAAGATCACAAATCCATTTAAGTGCTAAGAATGGCCATATTTGCAAGATATGCAAATAGGGGGAGGAATAGCCAATGCTATTTTTAAAGTGTTGGTCTATTCATGTACACCTCTTGATCATGTCCTCCTAAATTAGTCACAAAGGATCCACTCACTGGGCTAGACTTGTATAGTTAACACTAATGAACAGGTTATCTATTGATTATTCCTTGCTCTCTATCTGATCAGTCCCTCCTTTTTTCCTGGTCATACAATAAGGACATCCTTTAAACCACTTCCCCATAATTTGTAATAGGATACAACCTACTCATGTCTATCATAAGCTTCTCCACTGTCCCCTGGATGATCCTCAATTTCAATCCTTCAAAAGCTGTAGTCTCCCATGACTCTAGCCAAACCTAGGTGGTACAGTATATAAAGAGCCGGCAGTGAGGAAGATCTGAGTTCAAATCCTACCTCAGAACTTATTAGCTATGTGACCTTGGGCAAGTCAGTTAACCCATTTGCTTCAGTTTCCTCAACTGTAAAACAAGGGCATTAGCACCTACCTCCTAAGGTTGTTGTGAAGATCAAATAAGTTAGGTGCTATGTAGAGATACCTGCTATTGTTACTTTTGTTACTCTTAAATTAAATCTGGTAATTAAAACCAGATTAGCAGCCTTAGGGAAGTCTCTGTAGCAAACTAGGCAGATATTTGCTTCATCTACAGAAAGGGTTGGCAAACTTCAACCCAAGGGCCAAATCTGGCCCACCCCAGAGCCAAGAAAGGTTTTTACACTGTAAGATAAAGTTTCCTAGGCCAATAAGAACAGCCAGGGTCCCAGGGCATAGTGTGCCAACCAGGTCTTTAGAATTCCCCTTTAATTGAACTGCCTAAATTTCAGTTGTGTGCACTGGCTGGAATCCTTCTCACATTTGTTATCTTCATAAAGCTTTGCAATTCAAGAAGTTACAATTTATCTAATGTTGAATGAGACCTACACTGTTAGAACGCCATTCTATAGTTTTTCTTTGGTATTAATTATCTGATACTGATCAAACTCTTTGCTCTCATAGTCATCTCACATTCGTTATATTCACAAGGTTTCTTGCCACAATGAGTTTTCTGATGTTTGCTCTAGGAAGGCCTTTCCACATTCGTAAAGTTTCTCATAAGCATGAATTATTTTTATATTCACTAAATTGGGAGCCCTTATGATAGGCCTTCTTATATTCATAAAAGTTTCCCTCCACTTATGAATTCTCAAGTATTGACTAAGCTGTTTCCTCTCTAGGCAGACCTTCCCATATTTAGAACATTCATAAGGTTTCTCTACACTTATGAAGTCTCTGATGTTGAGTAAGCTGCTTCCACTCTACGAAGGTCTTCCCACATTTGCTACAATAAGGTGGTAATTCCTCCTGTATGAATCCTCTGGTGGTGACTAAGCGGTTTCCTGTCTAGGAAGGTCTTTCCACATTCACTACATTGATAAGGCTTCACTCCAACATGAATTCTCTGATGCTGAGTAAGGTACATCTTCAGAAAGAAGACCTTCCCACACTTACTACATTCATAAGATTTCTCTCCAGTATGAATTGTCTGGTGTACAGTAAGGTATGACTTAGAGCTGAAGGCCTTCCCACACTGATTACATATATAAGGTTTTTCTCCAGTGTGAACTCTCTGATGCCGACTAAGTTGTTTCCTCTCTAGGAAGGCCTTCCCACATTCATTACATTCATAAGGCTTCCCTACTGCATGAATTTTTTTATGTTGACTAAACTGTGAGCTCTGGCGGAAGGTTTTCCCACATTCCTGACATTCATAAGGTTTCTCTCCAGTGTGAACTCTCTGATGTTGGGTAAGCTGTTTCCTCTCTAGGAAGGCCTTCCCACATACACTACACTTATACGGTTTTTCTCCAGTATGAATTTTCTGATGTCGAGTAAGTTGTTTCTTCTCTAAAAAGAGCTTCCCGCATTCATTACATTCATAAGGCTTCTCTCCAATATGAATTTTTTTATGCTGACTAAATTGTGAACTCTGACGAAAGGCTTTCCCACATTCTTTACATTTATAAGGTTTCTCTCCAGTGTGAATTCTCTGGTGGCGAATAAGCTGTTCATTCCGACGGAAGGCCTTCTCACATTCATTACATTTGTAAGGTTTCTCTCCAGTGTGAATTCTCTTATGTTTAGTAAGTCCTGTGCTCCGGCTAAAAGCCTTTCCACATTCATTACATTTATAAGCTTTCTCTCCAGTATGAATGCTTTGATGTCGATTAAGTTGTGAACTCTGAGAGAATGCCTTTCCACATTCATTACATTCATAAGGTTTCTCTCCACTATGAATTCTCTGATGTAGAGTAAGGTGCGCATTAAGCCTGAAGGCCTTCCCACATTCATTACATATGAAAGGTTTCTCTCCACTATGAATTCTCTGATGTTGAATAAGGTGTGTGTTGAGAAGAAAGGCCTTCCCACATTCATTGCATGTATAGGGTTTCTCCCCACTATGAATTTTCTGATGTACATTAAGTCCTTTGCGCCAGCAGAAGGCCTTCCCACATTTGTTACATTTATGAAGTTTCATTCCAGCATGAAATCTGTGATGGGAAGTAATGAGTAAGTTATAGTTAAAGCTTTTCCCTTTACTTACTATATCCATACACTTTCTCCAGTATGACACTAAAATAAAGTCTAAACTCTAACAATGATTTCCCAACCCAATTACAATTAGAAAATATCTAATTTGTGAAGATATCTTTACTCAGTCTAAATAAACTTGGAAGTATTTTCTCTAAGTAGCACATCTAGGGAGACTTTCTGATGACTAATCTCTTTGGTAGAAAAAGGACTGGCCCAAGAAGTGAGCTCCCACCCTACTTGCAACTGTTGTAGAGTCTTACAGTACTGACAGTCTCCTCAGGGGTGATTTTTACTTGCCTAGACGACTGATCCTTGTTGTTCTGCTTTCCCTCTGACATGGCATCACATTCTAAGGCTTCTCCCAGCTTGGTAACATGGGGCTGGCGATGCCGCGGCACTCTTTCCTCCCAGAATCCTTTCAAAGTAGTGTCAAGCTTTGGAGTGGGCTCCCTGGCTTCAACTATCACTTCCCAATCTGAAAGAAATGCACAATATCACAAACACCAGCTTGAGGGAAACAAGGAAATTATTTGTTTTCTGTCCATTTCATTAACTCCCATGACAACTGCAGATATTTCCTGATGACTGCCTGGCTCCTTGCCCCTTTCTCTCATGTTTTCTGGTTCCCAAGTTCCTTACTTAACAAGTTCAAGTCTCTTTTTGAGCTGCAATGGCACTGTTTAGTATCTGCCTTACATTATTTATAGAAAAGAAGGGAAAATCACATTAAAACTAGCCTAGGGCCATCCACTAGCTTTTCTCACATAAAGTTTTGTGATTTTCCCTCTTTTTCTGTAAACAATGCACATACTGTCAACTTTTTCCTAGTAACATACTATGCTTTGACGGGCTAGCAAAAAAGAAAACAGGCATAACTAGGAGGAAGAATGGCCTTTCACTGACCCTCCTACCAGCCTCATGAGATGACCAAGTCCATGATGCTCTTTCTAAATGGGGGGGAGGGGGGTTGGAGTTCTTGTCAAGGTGGCACTGCCAAGCAGCAAAACTGGGAGCAGACTCCTGGGCTCAAAGGCTCTCTACCTCACTAGACTTCCCTTTAGCAAAAGCAGCACACTTTATCAGAGGAAATCTAAGAGTAGAAGTCACATGGGATCCGCAGGAGCTACACGTAAAGAATCACGAGCACTGCCAGCTGCTTGGCACAGACAATGCCAGATGTCCCAGTTCAACTGAACCACTCCCCTAGCTATATATGCTCACTGGCCACCTTATTAGTGCCCATTCTAGAATCTTCTCAAAAATCCAAGTTAAGTTTATGAGCCTATAGTCTGCAGACACTATTTCTGAATGTGTAGAAGTGAGCAAAGCATCCTGGGAGGGAGAGACCTGGCACTGTCAGGCACCAGGCAGGCCAGACCACCTCCTCTCTAGGACCCTGGCCCCAAAGTCCCAGAAACAGCACTGCTGCCAAACCACCAGCCCTCTTTCCAGCCCCATCCCTGAAATCGCTGTCCAGGGAGCAATCCTGGTTGCAGCTGTATCTGCAGGTGGGGCAGCCCTGACTTCTACAGGACCCAGTCCCTGAAGGCACAGGAAAAAAGCTTCTGCTCCCAGAGTCCTTGGCACCATCAGGAGTAAGACAACATCCATGAACATGACACAACAGCTGTGCTACCTTTTGTCTTGCTGGTCTACCCAAGGACCATCTGGCCCTTCCTTTGTTCCAATGCTGGCCCCTCCTTTATGTACCGTCTCCCCCAGCAGAGTTTGGCCCTCTTCTCTATCTGTACCCCAAACACACCGCACAAGGCTTTGAAAACGTCATTTCAGTTGCGTCTGATTCTTCATGACCCCATTTGGGGGTTCTTTTGGCAAGGATACTAGAGGGGTTCGCTATTTCTTTCTCCAGCTCATTTTACACAGGAGGCACTGAGGCAAAGGGGCTTATGTGACTTGTCCACGGTCTCAAAGCCCATAAGTGTATGAATTTCAGAGGCAGCTGGGGGCCCTGGAGTCAGGAAGACCTGAATTCAAATCCTCAGACACTGTATGAACCCTGTAAAACAGCAGTAACAAAAGCACCTGCCTCAGGGGCTGTTGTGAGGATCGGAGGAGGTAATATCCACACAAGTGCTTCTCCTGAGGCTGGTAGGAGGGTCAGCGAAAGGCCATTCTTCCTCCCAGGTATGCCTGTTTTCTTTTTTGCTAGCCCATCAAAGCATAGTACTTCACCAGGAAAAAGCTGACAGTACGTACATTGTTTACAGAAAAGGAGGGGGAATCACACACAGTAGGTGCCTAATAAATGCTTGTTTCTGCTTTCCTAATGCTTTTCCATTGTTCATTCCTGAGATCCTTAATCCTGTTGCTCCAAAAGAATTTTTTTTCTTCTGGTTTTCTTAAGATGCCTCTCAAAAACTTGAATTATGGTCACATTGTCCTTAAATATCCCTAGGTCCTTCACCCAAAAGCTTCTGAAGCCCTTCCATCTTCTCCCAGAAGTTCACCCCGTTGGATTCCCTCCATCGGGCCTTCCTTATACAAAAGGACTAGTGAAGAACCCTGGGACCCATCTGTCACCCCTTGCTCTGGCAAAGAGATTGGCCCATCTCCTTTTTCTTAAAAAAGAGCAAATGTTCTGGTCAGCCAAAAAAGAAAGGGGGAAGAGAAGTCACAAAACCAGGACAATTTTTGTTCTCTAACTTAAATGGGCCCTCAGTGGGGCAAGGCAATCTCTTCTACTCTTCCCTAATTCATTCTCTCCCCCACTCACCACAATGGCTGCTCACAAGGATCCCTTAGTACTCTGTCTCCATCCTCTTAGATGAAGACCTTTCCTCTTCTTATTTCACAGAAAAAATGGAGGCCATCCATTGGTACTCTCTACTGACATCCCAATGACATTTTGCCTGTCTCTCCTTCATTCCCATCTCTGTTGGAAAAGTGGCCCTTTTTCTTGCCAAGGCCAATTCCTCCCTCCATTCATGGTCCCATCCCCTCCTGTCTCTATCATCAACTGTGCTCTGCTCTGTCTGTGATCCTTTCCACTGGACCTTCTCTCATTACCCTTCTGGACCTCTTCTTGGGGGGATCCCCTGTGGTGACCTTCTGGAAGAAGACAGAGGGGCTTCTGGACTTCAACACTGTGCCCTCTTTATTGTTAGCTCATCCTGGAATCTCCCTCAATACCTGAGGTGTCCTGGCCCAGGAACAACCTTCCACCCCTGTCTAATGTCTACCTCTCCATCCTGTCTGTTTGGACAGCATAAGAGACTCAGCACACTTAGCAAGACATTGATGATATGAGTGTGTGTATAACATACCTATACTATTTGTCAACCAGCATCTACTTGCTAGTAACAATCAGATCCTAAAGAGAACTTCCCTTCATTTGCTTCTTCATCTTGTGAAGGACAAGATCAGCACTAAGACAAACCCAGAAGTCGTCACATACTCCGACCTATTTCCCAGACTCCTTCTGTTTCCCTTTTTCTATCCAGAAGTCATGTGTACTTCCAGTTCTTAGCACTCATGAAACACTCATGTGCTTGTCTCTGGGCCCTGCTGCTCCCTTCCCACATCAGCTTTTTTCAGGTCCTTTGCTTCAATGAGTGACCCCTCCGATGCCAAAGCTACTGGTTTTTCCTTCCTTTTATCTTCACCCAAATGCTCCCTCCTGGTCCCTGGATTCACTCACAAGGAGCCCTCCTTAACCAACAATGCTGCGCCCCTCTCCTCTTACCTTTGCCGTTAAGATTGACCCATTCGGATCCAAAGCCTACTTCTGGGTTTTAATCCCCGAGTCCAAAGTTGGTTCATCTCACTGGCTATTTAGGCTCATGTATTTGGGTACTGGTATGTGAGGCTGATATCAGGCCACCTCTCTACTGCCTCCTTTCTCAGCAAGAAGACATTTCCTGGGCGTCTGTACACGTCCACAGTCACGTACCTCGCTACACTGACCATTGAGTCTCTCACTGGTATCTGCTTGGTGGCTACCCGTGGGTGATTCTCACCATCCCCACTCTGGTTAGAGGCACCAGGAAGAGAAGGTCCTTACAGGCTTTCGGTACATGTCAACCCAGAAATCCCCACCCCATTCTCAGATACTATCTCCATGCCAGGAAGGGCCCAGACCCACCACGTCATCTCTTCTCCTTATTTTCCAAGACTTTTAGCCTCCTCCCCAGAGAAGGCTCCATCCTTCTCGGATTGGTCAGTTCTTGCCCAGAACTTTAGCTTTGCTCACTTTTCTCCTGACTATTTTTGCTTGGAATTGTATTCCCAGTGTTTAGCACATGGCTGGGTTAAGTGATTAATCACCAATTCCTCCTTCCCAAGTCAGGCTTTTGTGGATGAAAACACCTTGAGCCTTGGGTCATCAGTTGCTACCCAAGACAACGTTACTTTGGCAAGACCTTCTAGGTGCATCATGGCAGCATCCCTTGTGCCCATGTGAATTACCAGCAATGGGCTTCTCTGTTACATGTCGGACCCATGCCCCAGGAAGACAACAGAACCGTCAAGAAGCTGCTGCCTTAGTACCTCTGAGCAGGAAGTCACCTTCTCTGACCCTGCCTGGGGCTTCAGCCCACACAGACCCAAGTCAGCATCTCTTAGAGAATGAGCCGTCCTTCTTTAGACTTCTCAGGGCCAACCTCCCCTGTCCCACATCCAGCCTCCGGACACCATCTGGGATTTCTTTGGGACTGCCCGCTCTTTTTTGACTCATCTCTCCACTGAAGGCCTCCTTCCAGTTTCCTAAGGAACACTTCATGTCCTTGAAAACCTGGAAGGAGGTATCCCTCAAGGCCACCTCTTCTGAGAGAAGAGACTGTTCTTCAATGGATGCACTGGCAGCAGCAGGGGCAGGAACAGGCTCACTCACTGCACACTGAAGGGGCAGCAACAAGGTGGCTGGCTGCCAGGCCATTCTTTTAACAGGACTTTCCCCACAAAGGATACACAGACTAGCAAACCGAGCTGGTGGTGGCCACGCCTCCTCACTCACCTGCACAGTGCCTCTGGGGGATGTCTCCCTCTGGCATCCAAGGGGCTTCCCCTTGCTCCAACTGGCAGATCACATATGGTTTGGAAATGGCCAGGCCTGTTCATTGAACATGGAAAGGTTTTATGGACAGAGAGCCCCTTCAGAATTCAATTTTAATTCCTTCTCTCTTCTGGAAAAAAAAAAACGCCATCCAGGCAGACCCAGTGAATTGGGACAAAAGGCCTCTAAAAGAAGCTCATTAAGAATGTTTCCAAGGACCCATAGAGATCTGGGCCCCCCTAGAGGATCTGGGCTCAGAAAGAAAACTGTGGGATTCCCCATCTAGAATGTGGACACCAGGCAGGCGTTCTGTGCCTTTCTCGGTATGTCCAGTACACAGTGCACACGCCTGGCACATATCGGGTGCTTAGTAAATGCCTACTATGTCTCCAGCTATCTGGAACACCACACCAGAATCCTGGACCTGAGGGAACAGAGTGGGGGAGGGGTGGCCTCAGGGAGAATACCATCCAGGGCCGAGTTCCAGTGTACAAAATGAAGACCCTTCCCTGGCTGGGGAGACTGGTATACTACCAGGCAGCCCACCAACCTACCTCCAGGAATCTTTTGTTTCCATAGGCCAACGAATAGCTGAAAAGCACTCAAGACACCTTGCCATATTGCCTATGTGAGGAGATGAAGCCCCTCCCCTGGGCAGAATCTACATCATCACAGCGGAAAGCCATCCTCACCCAAGCCCACCAGGTTCCTATAGTTCTCCAGCATCACATCCCTGTACAAGTCCTTCTGGGAAGGGCCCAGCTGCCTCCACTCCTCTAGGGTAAAGGCCACGGCCACATCCTTGAACGTCACCGATTCCTGAAACACCAAACACATTTGTGGTTACCAAGGGCCTATCCTTCACCTGGACCTGGCAAGAGAAGTAAATCGGCAGGAAATCACAGGGACTAGTCCTTATGTTGTTCGGGATTAGCACTGGACCAAGACAAACAGGTACGGCGTGCCCACCGGCCAATGTTCTTTGTACTAGATCCATGCAACAAAATGGAGAACATGAACAGCCCCCCTTGGGCTGACGAAGTACTTCACTGCCAACTGTTAGGCAGGAAACGGAAGACGTCACCCCACCTGACAGATGAGAAAGCTGCAAAATCTAAGGCCAGGGGCAACGTAAGAGGCCATATGACCTGGGTTGGGCAATAATCAAGAGTCCAGCCTGCTTCCCTGTGTGGTGAAGGCCTCCACTCCAAAACTCGGCAGTCCCAGCGGTTACCAAGCTTTTCTTCACATCATTTACTTCTCTTGAAGGCAATCCTTTCATATATCCCTCAAAGACTCTCTATCTTTCTCATCCTTGCTCCAAGCTCCCAAAGTCCCCTCCCCAACACTGACCTCACATTGACAGCTCTTGCCCAGCCCCTCCCCTCCCCCTCTCCCCATCGCACAGGAAGAGGCAGCCCTCCTCTTCACCACGCCAGCTCCTCCCCCGGCTCAGGGATCCCCTCTCCTCCAACAAATTGCCCCCTCTGCCATTTTCAATCTCCCCTTGTCTCCTGACTCCTCTACCGCCTACAAACATGCCCATGTCTTCTCCCCCACCCTCTAGACACCCTCACTTGATCCACCCAGCCCAACTATTACCTCATCTCTCCTCTCTCTGGGGGGCTAAACTCCCAGAGAAGGTCATCTCCAAGGGCTTCCTGGTCCCATCCTCCCATTCTTAACTCACAGTGGCCTCTGACCCCACCATTCCACTGCTGTCTCCATTCAGTCCTCATTCTTCTTGCTCCACCTGCAGCCTTGGACTCATCAATCACCCTCTGCTTTCTACGTTTCTGTGGCACTAACTTATTCAGGTTTTCCTCCTCCCTGTTTCTCATGCTGGACCTTATCTAGTTCATACCTGCTAACCAGCGATGTTCTCCCTCTTCTGTTTTCCCCCTAAACTATTTCCCTCGGGGATCTCATTGGCCGCCATGACTCTCATATCTACTTTTCCTGCCCAAACCTGTCTCCCAGCTTCCTCCTGCCCCCCAGACATCTCAAACTAGAGGTCCCATAGACACCTTGAACTCAACATATCCAAAACGAAACTTGCTTCCCTTCATTACGATTAAGGGCACGGCCATCTTCCCGCTTACCCAGGTTGAAAACCTCAATGTCACTCCCTCGACTCCCATGTCCAATCTATTACCATGGCTTCTCAGTCTTCATTTTGTAACACCTCTCGTACCCATCCCCCCCTTCCTTCCTCTGACGCTCCCACCGTCCTCATCACGTGAGGCCTGGACTCCTGCCATGACCTTCTGGGTGGTCGCCCTGCCACAAGCTCCATCCAGTCCATCCTCTGCTCCCGTGTCAGACTCCTCTTCCTAAAGGACAGATCCAAGTCAGCTCCAGGGGCTCCCTATCAGGTCCAGAAGCCAACAGAAAGTTCCAATGGGCATTCAAAGCCCTTCACAATCTAGCCCCCCACCCTTCCAGGCTCCTTACACCTTCCCCCTTTCCTTTCCACCCTCCTCCACCACCCCCCTGTCTCACGTGTTCTTTGATCCTGTGACACTGGAAATGCCCCCTCCCCATTCCAGGAACTGTTACCGTCGGTCCCCTGGACTAGACTCCCTGGCTTCCTTCGCATCTCCCCTTCTGTATGAAGCCTTCCTGGTCCCTTTCGGGATTATAAAGTCATTTATCCTGCCTAGAGCTTACTTGTTTGCACGCTGGCTCCCCCAGCAGCCCTCTGGCTCCTCAAGGGCAGAAGCCAGTTTCTGCCTTTCTTTGTCTGCTCCATGTGCACTTAGCACAGTGTTGGGCACACAGCAGGTGCTTCCCAAGTGCTTTCTGATTGGCTGTCGGGGTCAAGCAGAGCAAGCTTATTTTCCTCTTCCACAGACTGGAAAGCAGTGTAAGTCAGCTCTTCTGTGGGCCCTTCCCCACTCTGTGACTCCCCCTGGAACATCCCTCCTGGCTCTGCTGGCTTTCCAGATGTGGCCAACCTGCCTCAGCTCCAGTCTCACCACCTTCTGGCTGCCCTTGGTGCCTGGGCCCCCCTCTGGACCAAACTCCCTCCCCTCCAGCTCCGCTCCCTGGAAGTCAACACTACAGAATGTCAGTGCCCACCCACTTTCCAGCTTCCCCTATTAGAATGTCATCTGCTAGAAAGAAGGACCAGTCTGTGCCCTCGCTTAGCACAGTGCCAGGCCCAGCGAAGACATGACATAAAGCCGTACACATCATCTTCTCTCCATTCTAGCTCCTCCTCAAGTCCTTCCACCACCGCAAGCATTCCCCTGCCTTCTTGACTGTATCCACATCCTCTCGGACACAATACTCAGGACCACACAGTGCTCAGGAGGTGGTGTCCGGGCCCTGGACACTTTGTAGGAGGCCAGAGGAGCTAGTATGGGTGTTGCTGGCTCCTGCCACATGCCACTCTTAGCTGACACGCGGTCTCTAATCTACTAAGACCTCCAGACGGTAACAGACAGAATTTACACAGTGTCTGAAGGCTAGCAAAGCACTTCACAAGTGTCCCGTGGATTGTTTCACACTCACAACCCTGGGTGTCAGGTGGTGTTCCCAGCTAAACCCCACCTTCCACAGGAAGCCTGCCCCAAGCCCTCTTCATTCCAGTGCCTTTTCTCAATTATTTACTATTTATCCTGTCTGGGGCTCACTTGGGAGATAGTCATTTGCACAGTGTTTCCTCCATTAGACTGTAAGCTCCATTGAGGGCAGGGATGGTCTTGTGCCTCTTTTTGTATGCCTAGTACTCCACATAGCGCCTGGTACGCATGTAAAAGCTTAATAAATGTTTACTGATTGACTATCCCCACTTTACAGTTGAGCAAACAGACAGATGAAAGTGAAGAGACTTGGCCAAGGTCACAGAGCTGGTATCTGAGGCCATATTTGAACTCGGGTCTCCCAGACTCAGGCCCAGCGCTCTGGCACCCCCCAGGGGCCTCCATCTTTTTCAGATCTTCTGTCCAGTCACACATTGCCGTCCTCCTCCTCATAAAGCTGAGCATTTTGTCCCAAGTGTCAGACTCAAAGGTTGTACTTATCCCTAACAAACATTATCTCACTAGATTAGATCAAATAATTTAAGCCCAGGATAAGCCACCTTTGCAGGGGCTGTTTGTTGTCCGGCCCTGCTTCCTTATCTCATACATGAAAAGATTTTTGGGAGAAAAATGTGACAAATCCTTGGCATCTACTCTCCTGGTGGGTCACCTCACCATCACAGAGGCTCAAACCCTGTCCCCTCCATCCATCCTGGCCAAGGACCTCACCTCACACAAGAGATTGTGCCATCAGCCCCATCCCTTCCCTTCCGCATATCTCCACACCACCAACCTCGGCCCTTACTCTCTCCTCTGGCTCTGGCCCAGATGAGGAGATGATGTCTTTTACCCCGCTCGTGCCCCAGATTCCCCCACTATCCTGCCCTCTTCTCTCCATTCTCCAGCCTCCCCCACTTACCGGTTCCTCTCCGCCCCCCCCATCCTGCAGAACATCATTGCTGCACCTGCTACGCCTCAGGTGACCTTGCTGTTTTCTAACCCAAGGCCCAGCTCTTCCTCCCCATGCTCACTCCAGATTCCTCTCCACATTAGATGGTAAGCTCCCTGAAGGCAGACACTGTCTTTCTACTTGGGTCTGCATCCCCAGGGCTTAGCACGGTGGCACCCGGTTTTACAACTCCCTAGAACGCCCTGTCTACGTCTCCTCACAATCCAGCTCCGACCTCATTGCTCCTCCCAAGTCACCCTGCTCTCTGACTGCCCCTTATGTCTGCCAGGTTGCCCACATCATGCCTCTTAACCGTGGCTGTTCCCCACAACTCTGGGCTTACAGGACATGGACACAATTCTAGAGGCCCGACCCACTTGGCTTCCTGGCCCTGGAAGAGGTTCCTCGCTTCCAGGACAGGTTCTCAAGGTGGCTTGGCTTCACCTGGGGGCAGGAGGGACATTTTCCTCAGGAACACTCCAAGAGCCCTGGCCGCCAGCTCCACTGGACGGTCTTGTAATGTCTCCCAGATTCCCCAGGTCGCTGGGCAGGCTGGATTCTCCCAGAGGGCAGGAGAATAAGTAATATCCCCCCCCCCTCCTCCCAAGCACATCAATTCAAATAGCTTCCTCCTATCTAGGAGGATGGATGGTGCTAAGACCAGTTGGGGGGGGCACCTAGGTGGATAGAGCACTGGCCCTGCAGGCCCAGGAGGACCTGAGTTCAAATGCAACCTCAGACACTTACTAGCTGTGTGACCCTGGGTAAGGCACTTAATCCACTGCCAAAAAACCAAAACAAAACAGGTGGGGGGGGGGTCAGAAGTTGGCAGAATGTGAGAAGCTGGATGTACGTCTAATGTGGTAACAACCCCCACACACAAAAGCTCTTTGGGTGGGGGGGTCTTCGATAATTTGTTGCTGTTGCAACGTCCTGACACTTCATGACCCTGTTTGGGGTGTTCTTAGCAAAGATGCTGGAGTGGTTTGTCATTTCCTTCTCCAGCTCATTTTACAGATAAGGAAACTGAGGCAAATAGGGTAAAGTGACTTACCCAGGGTCACACAGCTAGTAAGCATCTGAGGCCGGGTTTGAACTCCAGAACACGAGTGTTCCTGATTCTCACTGACTACCTAGCTGCCCTAATTAGTTCTAAGAGGGTTAAGGGGCCCTAAGACCAGAACCCCCCACTCTCAAATTTGGGATTCTCCTTGAATTCTGGGCTGACCTCAAGTTCCTGGGGGTTGGGGCATGCTGCCTGGAGAAAATGCAAACCCCCCCCAATCCTGGGGAGTTCAGGGCTCAGACCTCTGGTCATGGTGCCCTCCCGCACCTAGCCCTGCAGCCAGGCCCAGGAATGCTCCCCCTTCTGCAGTGGGGGGAATAGACCAGGGAAGCCCTCTCCCCACCCAAAGGAAGGTCAGGAAACAGGCCTTTCTTAAGCACCGACCCTGGGTCAAGCACTTAGACATAATCTCTTTAGGGCCTGACAGAGTAGAAAACTGAGGCAGCAGCTGACACGCCTCGGCCACCCGCCGTGAGCCTCGCAGGTCAGCGACGGCTGCCCGAGGCACAGGGCAAGCGCTTGACCCTTGTTCAGCGCCTGCCCGCTTGGGGAGCCCCACTTCTTCACTCACCCTGGTGGGGGCAGCAGGAGCCGCGGGCGGGGGGCCTGGGGCCATCTCCTCCCTCGGCCTCAGCCACGAGCCTGGGGATGGAAAAGAGCAATGAGAGCATGAGGCCGCACTTCTCAAACCAAAGTGGGCGGGACTGGGCGGCCACGCCCCTGTCGGCACTGGCCAATCGCAATTGTGGAAACCACGTGTGGAGACCACGAAGACAGAGGGCCCGCAGGGGGCGAGGTCAGAGCCCAGGAGATTCTGCGCACGTGCCGCCTCCTGGGCCAGCGAAGGAGCAGCGTTGCCGCTGATTGGCTGCCATACTTCGCCACGCCCCCTTCCCAAGGAGGAGCAAGGAAGGAGTCCGCTGGCGGAAGCGATGCGGCTGAGGGCGTGGCAGGAAGGCGGGTAGTCAGGTGCCCCGCTCCTCCTCTGCCTTTTCCTCTCCCCCAGCACCCCACCCTGTCGAAGGCTCCGAAACTAGGCTCTACGTCCTCCCTCCACCTCCGGGACTCACTCACCTCAGCCCAGGGCCGAGGGACGCGTGGCTCCGACGGCACCTGAGGGTGAACAGAGCCAAAGCGGCCAGGAAAAGGAACAGACTGGCGGGACGGACGTGACGTCACCTCGGAGCCCAAGTCGCGCTCGAAACGTCTTCTGGGAAATGTAGTTTGGAGAGCGCGGGCAGAGGAAAGAACACTGGTCTGAGAGCCGGGAGGGGGAGAGCCCAGCCGATGGCCAGGCGTGTCAGTAGAGTCCCAGGAATTCCTCTTTCTGCTCAGATTCCCCTACAGCATCCCCTCAGGTTTTTTTCCTCACATGGGAATGTTCCACGGCAGCCTCCCAAAGGGTAGCTTCCATTAAAGGCTCTACAGACAGTCCCTGGTGCTGCCTTGCTGGAGGGCGGGGGGGGGAAGGATTCCACCACCCCTACCGCTCCTACGCTGGCCCTCCGCCCTGGGGTCGACCCTCCGGATACCTGTGCGCATGACTGTGTTTGCCTCCCCAGCCCCACGTTGGAGGCTTCCCCTATTCAGCCCCTGCTGTGTATTCCCGTCTCCTTCCCCGGCCCATTTTACCGAGGAAGAAGACACTGGTGCCTGCCCGCAGGGAGCTTTCACTCCACACTTCCAAGTGGGGTGCTGGTCGCGCGGCAGATTCCCATTGGAGGAACAGCCCCCGGATTAGGGCGCCTGGCTCTCACGGGAGTGGGAAGTTCTCCCCTTCTGCCTGGTTGTCCCATGCGAGTCCCAGGCACCTGCCATCCTCCTGGCCAGACTAGCAGTCTTGGCAAAGGGGTACCAGGCTCTGTTGTGCCTAGCTAGTGAAGGCTGTGCCTACCCTCCGAAGCCCGGCCCCGGGGAAAGCTCCAACTGCCTTACCTGTGAGACGGCTGACACTTGGATCTGCCTTCAGAAAGACAGTCGGATAATTGTACAGCCCCTACTGGGATGTATGGGGTGTGCGGGGAGGCCAGCACCTCCTGGGAGGGCTAGCCAAGGGCTATGAGGGCTGCTGCCCCGCCTTGGGTGTCTGCTGGCAACCTTTACTGAGTTCTTTGCCAGAAGGACAAAGGAAATTAGGCTGCACTGTGAATGCCCTTTCTCTCAAAGCTTGCAGAACCTGCATATGAAGATATGCATGAGTAAGACAATGAACCCAAGGATGGACAAAGAGGATTTTTGTATTCAGAGCAATTCCCTGTCACCCCTCCCTCCCTCCCTTCCTGGCTCAGGATGCCTATGCCAGCCGGAATTATAGTCTCCAAACGTTTAACCATGATATGAGAAAGGAGTTTCTTAAGTGAATAGATTGTAACTACAATAAGATAGGAGAAGTGTTAAAGTGTCAATTGAAATTATAGATCCAGGATATCTGTTTCTTTTACCATTAACGTGGCATAGCATAGCGTATGTCCATAAAACACTAAGATAAAAAAAGTGCCGTCATTCAAGGTAGTGTCTGGGTCAAGGCGCCTTAGTGGTCATAAACAGAAGAATGCTGGTGGTCAGCTTCAGCTGTTGACACAGGAAGGGGCATTCTGGGTGCACTCAGAGAGCACCAATGTATGTCCAGAACACACAAAGCATTATGGTAGATTAAGCTTGAAATGTCTCTCCTGATTGGCCCATCTAAGTTTTAGGCCTTTCTTAGGTGTTGGAGTTCAAAATGGTTTGAGGAGGGATCTATACCACCTATCTATGGCCCAACTCTCACCCGAAGCTCTAAGAAACTATACATGTCCAGCGACCACACCCCAGTAAAACCATCTCAGCACACAGGCTAAACCAGGCTGAAGTAACTGACGGGCCTCAAACCAGTTTGCCCAAGCAGGTGAAGACTTCTAGCAGAATGGGTGGGTGAGAACAGTTTGTTCCAACTGCAGTGAAGATGGCTGGAGCAGGTGCTGGGGGGCACATAGAGCCCAGTCAGACACTGAAGACGCCAAGGTCATCCATCACCAAGAACCTCACTGTTGTCCCCCTGCTGGACTTTGATGACTCTGGAAGAGAATGTGAGGCAGACAACTTTGTGCAGTGCTGCCTCACTTATAACCAGTTCATTCACACGAGACATCATCCCGTGACATCATTGGTCTTCTTTGGAAACCAGGCTGAACAACAAATCTACACAGTCTGACTTCTGACCTTATCTCTCAGGCAGAATTGTTTCTTCCAAAGTTATTGACAATCTCTTAATTGCCAAATCTAATGACGCTCCCCACACACACACACACACTCTCATAGTTTTGATATCTGCACCCACTTCTTGCATTCCGTCTCTTCTGGGTTTTCCTCTCTCGGTTCTTCTGTGTGTCTGACCCTTTTCCCTATCCTTTGTAGATCTTTGTCCACATCATGCCAACACGCTATGGGTATTCCCCGAGGTCCAGGGCCTTCTTCTTTAGAAACCTCATCATTATCATTTCTATGGAGATGATTCCCACATCAATGTATCTAGCCCCAGTCTCACATTACAAAACTGCTAATTGACTATTTTGAACCGGATTGGAATCTCATGACAAAACTCATTATCTTTCTCCAAATAACCTACCTGTCTTCCAAATATATTCACTTCTGTTGAGGGCACTAGTTTCCTTTGTATCACTCAGAGATCATGACCTTTGTGTCATCCTAAACTCCTCTCACACTCACCCCACACAGCCAGTTAGTTCTTCCATCTCCCTTCTATATCCATAATATCTCTCCTACGAGTTGGTTTCTCTATGATTACATAGCCACTGCTCTAGTGCAGGACCTCATCAGCTTATGCCTGGACTGTTTCATCAGCTTGCTGGTGGCTCTGCCTGGTGCAAGTCTTGTTTCTCTAATTCCTCCTCCACAGAGTCACCAAAGTGATTTTCCTAAACACCAATCTGCCCCTGTAAGCCCTAAACTCTAACACTGTCACCTGCAGGATTTAATACAAATCGCATTTCAAGCTCCCACAACTTGACACCTTTTAACCTTTGAGTCTCATTACACTTTATACCCCTCCACATACTCTGCAATCCAGATATGCTATTAATCAATCAATAAACATGTATTAAGCTGCTACTATCTGCAAGGCACTGTGTTAAGCCTTGGGGATGCAAAAAGAGGCCAAAGACTGTCCCTGCCCTCAAGGAGCTCTGCAAACAAACATGTATAAACAAGTTGTGTACAAAATAAATGGAATTAAGAGGGCTTGGGGAAGACTTCCTGTAGAAGGTCGGATTTTAGTTGGAACTTGAAGCCAGGAAAGCCAGCAGCCAGAGGGGAGGAGGGGGAGCATTCCAGACATGAGGCTAGCCACTGAAAACCCCCAGAGCTGAGAGAGGGAGTTTCTTGTTTGTGGAATGGTCAGGAGGCCTGTGTCACTAATCTGAAGAGTATGTGTCAGTGTGTAAGGCATAAGAAGACTGGAAAAGTAGGCGGGAGCTAGGTTATAAAGCTCTGAATGCCAAACAAAACACTTTGTATTTGCTCTTGGAGGCAATAGGGAGTCGCTGGAGTTTACTGAGAAGGGTAACATGCTCAGACCTGCACTTTTGGAAAGTCACTTTAGTGGCTGAAGGAAGGGTGGACTGAACTGAGGAGAGACTTGGGACAGGCAGACCCACCAATAGGTTAATGCAGTAGTCCAGGATTGAGGTGATGAGGGCCTGCACCATGATGGCAGCATCCAAGGAGAGTAGTGGCAAATGAGGAAAACGTTCAGTTTTGCTCATGTTGAGTTGAAGATGTCTACTGGCTATCCAATTCTAGGTTTTCAATAGACATTTAGAAATGGAAAACTAGAGGTAAGGAGAGAGGTCAGGGCTGAAAAGGTAGATTTGAGGATCATTAGCATAGAGATAATAACTGAATCTATGGGAACTGATGAGATCAAGTGAATAGTGTAGGGGGAGAAGAGGGTACAGGACGGAATGCTGAGGGACACCTATGGTTAAAGGGTGAGATCTGAATGAAGATCCAGCAAAGGAGACTTGAGAAGGAGCAGTTAGATAGGTAGGAGAATCAGGGAGGGTGGCCCAAACACCCAGAGAGAAGAGATCTATCAAAGAGAAGAGGGTGATCGAATGTCCAAGGCTAGAGAGGCCAAAGGAGAATGAGGACTGAGAAAAGGCTGTTGGATTGGGCAACTAAGAGATCATTGTAACTTCGGAGAGAACAATTTTAGTGCAGCGATCAGTTTGGAAGTCAGATTGGAAGGAAATTATTTTGCTATTATATTAAGAACCAATTATTAAATTGAGATCAAGGCTTTTTCTCCTTTATTTCCTCATTTTGGGCTCAGCCCCTGTAGAAGGTCAGTCATTCATTGATGAGATGTCCCTAACCTTCAGGGAACATGCTTCTCAATCTTGGGCCCAACCCCACCCAATCAGGATAAGGGGGGGAGTGTAAACAGAATGCAGGTGGTTAAGTTCTTGCTCCAAGGTGAACAGCCTTATCCTTTTACCTCTCCATTAGAATTTAGGATGACTCAGTTTATGAAGGAGAAAACCAACCAGAGTGGTCTGGAAGGAAATGGATTCCTCTGTCCAGACTGCTGGAGGTGGCTGAGTCTCATGATTAAGCCATGTTCTCAGCAGGAGGAGCTAAAGATTTCTGGCTCACCTCCTCATTAAAAGGCCACCAAACAGGGTGATTGTCACTTACCACAGCATCTCCTTTTACAAAGGTATTTAAAGTATTAAGTGTCTCTATTAGGAGTCTGGGAGTCTGGTTTTCTAACAGAAACCACTGATCATCAATTTATTGATTACTAGCTAGCCTAATTAATAAATTGATTGTTAATTACCCAGAAGCTATGTTTCTTGAGTTTTTCATTTGTCTCAGACTGTAAGGGCCACACTGGGCTTGATCACCGTGACACAGAGGCCCAAAGTGGTGGGCCTCTAGCTAGCTTCCTATAATTAAGCAAGTGATCTTGCAATCTGCAGCTCACAGTTTTGGGGCATAGGATGCAGAAAAATAATCACTACCTCTCCAGAACCATATAAAATTGATTGATACTGACTGGAATAGAGTAGGAGTCCTCAATGAATCAACTTTCTCATTCTCCCCTTCAATCCACAGAAAGACCCATCTATGTCTGGATCATTACCATCTAAATGCATGT